ACACACACACACACACACACACACACACACACACACACACACATTTATATTTCTATCCATTTTAGGACAGTTCTTTGTTTTCATTTGATCTCCAGTTGTTTCCTTATCTTTACCCTTACTCTAAACCAGGGGTGGGCAACTGGTGGCCCGCGGGCTGTATGTGGCCCACGAGTGACTTCTCTCCGGCCTACCAATTTTTTTTTACATAAAAAATGCATCAAAGCWGCTCTTAGATCAGTCCTGTTTGGATTTACCTACATGTGTAAACAGACATTCTCAGTRATGAAGTTCARCAAATYCAGGTACAGATTCTCTGTCATTAATAATCACCTTTCTGCTATTCTTTGCATCACAAAAACAAATCATMAGATTGGTATTTGTTTTGTTTGCAAAGGAATATTTTCCTTTATCTCCTAAATCACAATTTCACATATTTATATAAATATTTACAACATATCCTTGTCCTATAGCAGTAGCAGCTAATCTAAATATTTCATTTACTGCTCTTACCAATGGGTATAAAAATGAATATTAAGCAGAATTAAGTACAACGTATTGTTTGTTTCGGCCCTTCAACATAGCTCAAGTTTCTCATGTGGCCCCCAGAGAAAAATAATTGCCCACTCCCACCCTAAACCTAACCCCCACCCCAAAAATGGAGTTCCACCATATTCAGACCGGTCTTTGGTCCCCATAAGGACTACTGATCTTAACAAGGTAGGTGTGAATACCAGAAATTGTCCCAAAAAGGTACCAAATACAACAAGTACACACACGCATAGACAGGTAAAAACATTAACGCTCCACCGTCACCAAAATTTAGTTTATCTTTTTATTGATAAACCATATCAAACATTCCCTGTAAAGAAAAAAATTGGTGATATAAATACCAGAATATTCTTTTCAAATAAAAATTCAAGGACAATAATGTGGCAAAAATACTCCAAAGTCATCCTTTACTGATAACGTTTTCCTCTCCACTGTTTACATGTAGTCCCTGCTCCTTCCTGTTCAGACTGCAGCTTTCTCCTCTGATCATATAAATGTCAAAAGTCTCAAATCCACTGATTTAAAAAATAAAACACATAAGGTGCTTATTTATYACAGATTGCGAAATAAACCRAGTTAACGTGTTAAGTGAAGTCACRAGGATATAAATAGCACACCGACAAYTATCTAAAGACGACAAAAGTTTTGTTCAACTAGACAAAACACTCCCACAYGCGTCAACAAGTCTACAACAGGCCAGGATCACGTTCTGTTCAGTCCAGACGTGAGACCAGACAGAAAAAAATCTAAACTGAAACTCATTAAAGACATCAACCTCTGTAATCCTGTTTTGCGTTGCAGCCACTCTTAGCTTATCTGAAAACATATGAAGGTTTAAAAATGGTGTGTGCAGTGTGCAAGAATAGATATGTTTGATTTGCAACCTGCCTAAATATCAGGAACTTGAGTTTGTGTTTATTTACAAAGAAGGTCTTTGTTTTTTTAGCTGTCCTGTGGGTGGCTTTTAGCAAAATGATGAGAGATTCCAGTGAAAAAATGTTCAGAATGATCAGATTTAGAGGGGTAATAGGGGTAATAATAATAATAATAATAATAATAATAATAATAATAATAATAATAATAATAATAATCTGTAAATTATGTTTTCTTTGAATATATTCTGGGGCTAAAAGGGGCAGACATAAGATTTATTCTTCTTCTGCTACCTTTCATTTTATTTTGATTTTTGATTTGTGTATTTTCTTTGTTTTCTATTGTTTACAGTTATTTTGTTTTTTAWTGAAATTAATACATTCTTAATTGAATTGAATTGAACTGAACTGAATTGCAAATAAATATGGAAGAGATTCTTTAATAGGATCAGCTGAAATAAGTCTGTTTTCTTTCATCGGTAATGTGCTATGGAGTTGAAATGTTCAGTTAGACCGTCTGTATCCAACCAAAGACACTTTGAACATTTGATACAGCACTTAAAAGATAGAAATAAGCCTATTTTTTAAATACATTTTGTGTTAAAACTTTCTTATGGTGAAATGACTAAAACTCAGGCCGTCAAGGAAAATGTTTATTCTGATTATTAACTAGATCTGTGCTTTTTATGTGTCAAACCGTGCCCGACTACTAACCGCATGATCTGACACACAAGAAGTTCCCAAAAGCTTCCAAGCTGAGCAGCTGTCTCTAAACAACGACGGACGCCACAGCAAACTGACAGCCTGCACAAAAAACTGTGACACCTCAGTGAATTACACAGATATTATGCTAAAATTGGCTGTGTTCGTAGTTGAGAGTCGTTAACAACACAAACACTAACAGATCACACTGAGACGCCAAGAAAAGTTTGTCCAAAAAGGTTACAACTCCATCCTCTTTCAATATAAAATGATTTTAGTCCAAAACTCTGGCATGGAAAGCAGCGGGCAATATGCATCCCCTCAAGGATGCTTATTAATAACAAATTTGTGGCAATCAAAAGGAAAGCAGAAGATGAAGGACTTGTGCAATAGTTTTGTTTTATAATTATGACAAATTAAATATATGGCCAAAAAAAAAAGGTGACCACTTCTTTTATAATAAAGCATTTATACACAAGTAATTTTGACTGTAACTTCTACAGAGTATGAGTCAGAATATGCTACTTCACTGACCTTTCTGACCCTAATTAAAGTGGTCAGCTGAAATGAAGCACCKGTTCCCTGTAAGTTACCTGTAGCTACAAGTGACCACGTAATTACAGGTGTCTGAAGCGCTCAGCAGCAACTAGCAGGAATTCAAGGTGACTTTAGCAAAACAAGAGTCTGAGATGTTTGTTTGATAATAAGCAATAGTTAGCTTTTTTTAATGAAAACAATGCTGCGTTCTTTGAAACAGGACAGACAATAACTTTGGATCGACATCCGGTGTGGTTAGTATTAGCCTTGTTATAATCGTTATAAATGTGGCACGACTTCTTCTGACATCACTTTGTTGTCGATTGTTGCTTCCCAGGCGGGAGAAACCTGTCACAGGATGAAGCTGTCAAGAAKAACGCGTTTTGTTTTTATTTTTCTCCAATGTTACATGAACGCAACCTGACACCGACCAGCGGTTACCTGTGGGATTTGCCCGTCAACAGACGCTTCCTAAAGGGACATCCGAGCTTTACGTACCTGACATCTGCACACCATGTCCGCATCTTGTGCCAGCAGGTCCACAACTTTCCCTTTGCCCTCGTCGCCCCATTGAGCCCCGAGCACCACGGTCACTTTGTTGCCAACGGTCGGTCTGGGTGACTGYTTTGTCGGGCTGTCGCTGCTGTTCGAGGCCCCGGCGGCTTCCTGACTCCCACTTTCAGACATTTCTCTGCTGGCTTCCCGGCTGACTGCACCGCGGCGCTCGCTGCCTGCTCTACAAAGATGAGAAAGATGAGCGAAGAGTATCACTTCGCAGAAACGTCAGGCGCTCTGCACATGCGCGACTGCCTGAACTCCAAAGTTTGAAAAAAAAACCAACTAAATTATTGTTCAAACAAATGATTGAGCGTGGTCYAGTCAAATACTTCACATGGTGTTTTATTTAAAGTTAATCAAAGTTCGTGGTTTCCGCAGGTTTTACTAATCCGCGTACGAGTGAGTCATCTTCACTTATTCTACGATCTTAAGTGACGCTCCCACTTCTGGAGGTGTTCACGTACAGGGAGGTGTGGCGGAAATACCATCAAAAGTACTCCAAAACAAGGACAGTATGATCCGAAAAGATGCAGGAAAAAAAATACAAACCAGAATCTTTACAGGTTTGAGACTGATCTTTAACTGTATAATTACTGATCAATAACTGAGGTTATAGCATTTAGTTAGGTAAAAACTGAAGTAATTTAAAAAGAAGACTATACTCTGTGGGATTGCTTAATTTCAATACATCACATTTTATATAAATAGTGCACGTTTGAGGTCCTAATCTGAAAGTAACTATGCAGTAAAATATTTCTCAGCAGTAGAAGTGTAATTAAAGCATTGAGTAATAAATCTTTAAATACTCAACCACAATAAATACACTTAATAACATTCCCTTTTATTATAATCCGAGGACTAAAGAGACTAAAGCTGGCAGTTTGAGCTAAATATGAAGCAACAAATACAGATATTTGATTAAACTGACTTGGCCAAGTGACCAATTTTAACATGCTTGTRCTACACACAACCAAAGGCCTGTCAAAATTTACATAAAAGATGTCACAAATTAATATTTAAACATTTGATCTGATTATTTGGAGACCAGCAGCATCGGTACGGTTCACATCACGACTGTCCTTTGGTTTCCTCTGAGCACAGCGTGGGACAGATGGTCAGCTGTGTGGATGAGAGGAAACAGTGGGAACAGTGGGCCGGTGGGTCACGACTCAGCCTTGTATTAACAAACGAACGTTGTATTTCCACAGTGACCCCGYTGAAAGAAAATAGTTAGATAAATGTGTCACAATCAGTTCTCGACTCCAGGGATTCTGTGGTTGTTTGCTCCCACCGAATGCATCAGATGAAAGGAAACTGCAGTGTGAGAATTGTTGCCTYACTTCCTGTTGTCTCACATTCCCTRCTAAWTCCTCATTTATGTATTTATTTCTTGTGATTACTTTATTTTGGATCAAACCACTGCAACAATTATGTCATAATTTCCTGCTTCTGCCCCTTAATATGAAAAATATGTGTGGCTTCATTGCATGGTCAAGGTCACATGGCAAAATAAAAGTATACGTTTATTTTTTTAATAAATCATAGTTCATATTTCCTAGTTCTTTCTTTCACATGACTGACTTTCATTAACCTTGTTGATAACTAACTGCACATGTTTTTATTCAATGTATATTTAATCTAATTTTATTCTCAACTTATTTCACATCTGACTTCATGCATTAGTAACAAACTCAGAAGATAAAAAACAAGCTTGCACATTTAAGATATTTTATTATCTCCAAAACTCAAACGATATGGCACAGACAATATAGATTAAGAATGAAAATAACRAATTAACCACTGTATTGCAAGTCTAATTTGTTGTGTTGCACTGTTGCGTTGTGATCAACACTTTAATTAGTGTCACATAAAAATGTGTAGTAATGAATGCATTAGTTTGTTTTTATACTATTGTAAAATGCAGTCTATTTAGTGTGTTTATTAAAAAATAAACGTCGCACAATTTTTTAGAATACCTTTCAGTGTTGGCAACTTGTCATACAGTTCACTAATCTAAAGGAATTGAGGAAAAAAGGTTGTTTTCTTTTTTTTGTCCAGCAGGTGGCGGTAAAGTGACGTTTCAGGACGTAAACTGTCGTAAAAAGTCAACAAAGAAGAGCTCCCGTAGCTGCTTTGTTAAACATCTTCTCGCTGTAATTTTATTTAGGTCCTTGTTCGTTGTAACTCTTGGGAAAATGACTCCGTTGCTTCTCAGGGCTTTTGTAAACGATCGACTGACAACTGTGGTCGAGGAAATATTTCAGGTTTTCGAACAAACGTTAGCAAAATACGAAGAGGAAGCGTCCAACTCGAAGCAGGAGGTCGAGCGGCTTAAAGGTCTGCTGCAGGAGCTGGAAAATCAGAGGACAGGTGTGTTTCCTGCAGCTTTTCTGTCACCTTATCATCTGTTCCTGACGAAACACACCAAAATGATAACAAACTAAACTTTACTGTATCTCACCTGTTTAACTCTGTGAACTGTCGCGCTGTTGAATGAGTTCATTGCCCCCGGTGCTGTCGACACTTTGAGAATCARCACAAGTTTTTACATTTTAAGATATTTCACTGTTTTATTAGTTGTCTGTAACACATAAAACATTTTAATCTTTAATTCTGTATATAATGTATTTAGTTCCCACATGTAGTTAAGTGTAAATATTAGGGGTTTTGATAAACTCAGGATTTGTTGATAAAATATTTTCCTCTGAAAATGTTTATATTCAAAAGCTGAGCATTTCCTGAAGGAATTGCCATGCCAGAGTTTTAGATTAAGATTATTTTATGTTGAGGAATAACAACATTGTAACTGCTTTAGTCAAACTTAAAAAAACTATTTTTATAGATTTATTTCCCTAATTTTATAAATGTAAGTGCTGTTCTTTTTATAAAATCTATTAGCTTGTTGTTTTCCCCTCCTCCTAGACATTTCTCAGTCATCCTCCTGTAAAGATGAAACTCGTGAGCAGGAATCAACCTTCGGCAGCATGGAGCAAGATGAACCGGAGCTTCGGATCATTAAACAGGAAGATCATGAGGTCTGGGCCTCTGATCAGCAGGAACAGGAACAGGCAGGAGAGAATGCCGATGGTTTTTATCCACCTTATTCTTCCGTCTGGGAGGAGAACGAGCAGGAAGACGCAAACCAATCGGTGCAACCTCGGATACGAAAGTGTGAACCAGACGACGGGTTTCAGGAGATGCGTGGCGAAAACAGCAGAGCGTTCAGCCCACCGCCCGCCGCAACTCTACCTTCACAAAATAAAGCTGCAGGTTTTCCATCACCCCAACCAGAACAAGGTCAAACATCGTTCCTGCTCTCCAGAGACTCCACTCATCCATCGCAGTTTAACATAACTGGACCCGACTATCCTTGCCATTTGTGTCCCGAGAAGTTTTCCTCCAGTCACCGCTTGATAAATCACGCTCTTCACGGTCATTCGAGAGACGTCAGCATCATGTGCGCCGTGTGCGGGAGGACCGTCGGGTCCTCCGAGAGTCTCGACTTGCACCTGAAGTCCCACAAGAACTCAAAGTGTTGCCTCATGTGCGGCAAACAGTGCAAGAACAAGACAGCCCTGACGGAGCACATGGCCAGCCACGCGGGGCTGAAGCTGCACCGCTGCCACGTGTGCGGCAAGGAGTGCAGCCGCAAGGGGGACCTGAAGATCCACATGAGGATCCACACGGGCGAGAAGCCCTTCTGCTGCTCTTTGTGCTGCAAAAGCTTCACTCACAGCGGACACCTGAAGAAGCACATCAGAAGCCACTTGGGAGAGAGACCGCACAGGTGCGACATCTGCGGGAGGGCGTTCCTGCAGCGCGCACACCTCAAATCCCACTTAGGTACTCACGCGCTCAGAAGCACCGATGGACCAACGTTCAATCAACAGAACTGATATTCTGGGGCTATATTTATGTTTTTACAAAAGTTTTTCCAAGATTTGTTTCATTTTAACCAGAAAAATGTGTTTAAATATTTTTCTTTAACACAGAATTATCCATTGTATTTGTTTAAATGGAAACAAAATATAGTTTATTTCTTAAACTGGTTCAAACCAAATTAACCAGTGAACAGAACAGATTATATTTTATTTAGGACTACTGTATTAGTAACCACTGTGTGTAGAAATAAGATCTAGTCTTTGGAAGTCATAAATGCACTACAAAACCTTTTTCAGGCTATCTGCCTTTATTACATAAAAACATTTGATTTATAATAACATTTCAACCATATACTTTCACAATCTGTGTTTGAAAATATCTTTATTAAAGCAAAAAGTTACTTTCAGAGTTTGTTTAAGCATTTGCAAACTRCCAGACAGAGTAAATCTGAGAGTTGTTAATAACATTACTATCCCTGTTTACATAATTCCCATGGGGTTTTATTTATAATCCTGGYCAATTCAGTTTATTTACATAGCGCCAAGTCACAACAACTGTTGTCTMAGGGCACTGTGCACAAAAAACAAAACAAAAAAATTTTTTTGACATTGGTGAAAAATCTTGAGTAGTTGTAAAGAAAAAAAACTATTATATTTTTTACATAGAAAACAATAAATGGCATTTCTTCCACATAAAAAAAAGGCTTTTGTTCAAAAGATTTTTTGTTTCTTCGCACTGAGAAGGAAATAATTTTCACCACCAGGGGGCGCAAAAGGAACTTTTATATTTTATAGCAGGTCAGCCAGAGTCTACATGATGTAATGCTTTTTAAGACCCCCCACCTTCCAAAAAAAGGGTAAATTTATTAGCTTTAGTTTTTCTATTTTATGATGTAAGGCGCAAAATTGTTCAAACACATATTTKCATATTGTGAAATAAGTAAATCTTTGCAGATGTTGAATCCAAAGCTTTTTTAAAATGTTTTACTGCAGCTTCCAACACATTCTCCTTTTATCCATAATTCCCAATTAGTTTTTAAAGCAAAAGCTGTTCTCAAAAGGGCTTCCCAACACTCAACTTGGGTCGCTTCCATGTGGCCTAAAAATCCTTGTGGTTTTTTAGCTCGCTGCTTCAGGCAATGCAGCTTTTCAGAAAGTGCAGCTAAAGAGCTAATGAAGGTTTTGTCATCCTTGAGTCTAAAACTAATATCCCCTAATCTAGGTATGTAATTTCCCCCAAAGATCACCAGCAGGCAGCACCCCTTAAATACTCTGGAACACTTTCCCACATGTGGATTGGAGTCCAGCRTTAATGGAGATTCTTTAACTCARCATTGCTGCAAAAGTGTTGACAACYTGYGCTGCTGAATCTTTTGTTATTTGACAATTTGTTTAAGAGGGGAAAAAGGTCTGGATTGATTTAAATTGTGAAACCCACTGAAGGGAACTGAGGGGATTTTCTTTATGTGGGTCAGGTTGTGTGAACAGATCAGGCTTTAGCAGCCTCGTTGTGTGTTTAGTAGGACGTATGAAAGGTGACCATTTTGCACCCACAAAGAATTCAGCTGGAACTCAGCAGTCCGTCAGGAATTCCCACAATCCCTCCGGTTGCATAACTGGATCGCCGAGTTATTCACCGACCCGCCCAGAAGAAGCCTCTGTCCCGGACCAAGTGGGTCCTGAAGTATTCGAGGCGGAATGCTGGCGTCGATGAGGGGGCTGGAGGAGTATGTGTCTCCTCTCGTCAGACACTTTTATTGTGGAGGAGGACAACAAACATGTCAACATGTAAATAAGTAGCTGAGCAATGGAGAAGTTTCACATGTGGGAATGGATCACAGAAGATCCAGGGGGAGAAAAGGCCCAGTATTATGTGAAAGAATCACCCGTTCATGCCAGAGTTTGGGACTGAGGGTCAGAAAGTCATTTGGGTCATGCCTTTACTTTCACAATATTATGCTCATATCAGTTTAAACAGAAGTGGGGTTTTAACTGTATATAAATGTATTCATTGCATCATCAAAATGTCTAGATCAGGGGGTCTCAAACTCATTTTCATTGAGAACCACATGAGCTTTATAGTCCTCACAGGGCCAGATGTAATTTGATCAAACACAAAACATYATGCTCCTCTTCTCATTGCTATAGCTAACAATAACCCAGCTCTGTGTGGTATTTTGTGCATAGAAACAGTGTTTTAACATGTCCTAACAGTGAAAAGTACTACGTGTACAGCTGATTAAAMGCCACGTATACAGAAATACTATTAAAAGTAAACTAAGAAAGTTTTATTAAGAGCTGAGGTGTGGTGAGTAGCTGCCATCTTGAATTCTGAGTTTTCCCACTCCCTGACAGGGAATTCCCATGGGAGGTGCATTCCACTTTACAGTTACGACTTGTAAGTGGGAAATTCCCACTTCCCTGTGTAACTGGACTGCAGCGAAAGTAGAGGCGAAAATGCAGTGAAATGGAAATTTTACACTATGTGTTTCACTGGCAGCATGGTGGCTCCGTTGGTGGGGCTGTTACCTCTTGGCAAGAAGGTTGCTGGATCAAATCCCAGCCGGGGCATATGGCAACTCTAAATTGTCCCGAGGATGAGATTGTTTTGATATTTTGTCTCTGTAATGGACTTATGACCTGTCCATGGTGTACCCTGCCCCTCACACACTCCTGGATGTGAACACCAGAGACCATCCCACCCTCCATGCTGCTGGAAGGAAGAAGCTGGTAAAGAAAATCAATAACACGATCGATCAGGGGTGCGGCGATCAGGTACTGCAAGCTGCAGCTAGACCCTTCTCAAGAAAATGGATAGATGGAATTTAAATGGTTACTTTTGCACATTGTGCACTGCCACCTAGTGGTGGGATGTCTTCATTTAATAATAAAAAATTGTAAAATAATCAACACGCTATTTGGGAGATGTAGTTTATTATCTATGCTGGCTTTAAAGCAGCTAATTTTAAGACATTATCTTTGAAGTGATGGTCAGTGTTAGCACTGATGCTCCACAGAAAGAAAACCTGGGGTCTTTCTGTGCAGAGTTTGCATGTGGGTTTTCTCCAGATACTCCAATTTCCTTCCACAGACCAAAACATATGCACATTAGGTTGCCTTCAGGTCCAGGGCTTCCCTTGCAAAATAGATCTATGATCTCAGTGGGAGTTGTCTTGTTAAATAAATAAAACAAGATGCAGTGGTGGTGCACATTGGCCCACGGGCCTTGAGTTTGACACATGGTCTATAAGACGCTTTCAAGATGGATTTAAGTTGCAATGCACAACATTCAAGTTGCCCCTTTAATTTTGACTTGCGTGCTACATAAAATAACATTTTATTTTTGAGAACTTAAAAAAAGCAGCTTTTCCCCTCAAGCTGAAATGTTACAGGAGTCAGTTGTTTTGTAGCTCTCATGGCTTGATTGTGAATCAGTAAAGTAATCAATATGTGAACGATTGACCCACTGATGTCAGTAAGACCAGATTGTGGTTTATTATAAGAATAAAATAAAATAAAAACAAATTGGTGACTTTATTCCACCACTCACAGTATTTGACACTGGAGGTGGGGTGCTGACGCATATTTTACGATTTTAGCAGCTGGCCTGGTCATGATCTGGACCAGTCACAGAC